CATATATATTTCTGTATAAAATGCTACTGAAATTGACTAGAATTGTTTTTCATTTAAATTTAATTTTAATTACCACAACAGTATTTTACTTTTTTCTTTTTAAAAAATATTTTATTTATTATTCTCATTTTATGTGTATGCGTGTATTACTTGCATGTAGGTAAGTGCACCTGTGTCATGCAATATCCAAGGAGAACAGAAGAGGCTGTTGGATTCCCTGGAACTGGAGTTTCGGACAGTTGTTAGGTGCCATGTGGGTGCTGGGATTCAAATCTGAGTCTTCTGCAAGAACAACCAGTGTTCTTAACTGCTGAGCCATCTCTCCACAAAGACTATTTTATGACATGCTATATATGGCCCTTACGCCACAAAAATAAAATATGTTGAGATGTCAGCCTTCTGTGGCTATGACAAAATACATGAGGACATCAACTTATTTTTTCATGATTTCAGAGATTTCAGTGTTCAGTTAGTTGGCTCTATTGTTTCTGAGCCCAAGGTGAAGCTGAGCATCTCAGTGAGGCATGTCATCCCAGTGAGGCATGACATCACAGTAAGGTGGTCATCCCAGTGAGGCATGACATCACAGTAAGGCGTGTCATCACAGTGAGGCGTGTCATCACAGTGAGACATGTCATCACAGTGAGGCGTGTCATCACAGTGAGACATGTCATCACAGTGAGGTGTATCATCCCAGTGAGACATGTCATCACAGTGAGGCGTGTCATCACAGTGAGATATATCATCCCAGTGAGGCATGACATCACAGTAAGGTGGTCATCCCAGTGAGGTGTGTTATCCCAGTGAGGCATGTCATCACAGTGAAAACTGTCATCACAGTGAGATATATCATCCCAGTGAGACATGTCATCACAGTGAGGCGTGTCATCACAGTGAGACATGTCATCACAGTGAGGTGTATCATCCCAGTGAGACATGTCATCACAGTGAGGCATGACATCACAGTAAGGTGGTCATCCCAGTGAGGCATGTCATCCGTCATCACAGTGAAAGCTGTCATCACAGTGAGGCGTGACATCCCAGTGAGACATGTCATCACAGTGAGGCGTGTCATCACAGTGAGGCGTATCATCATAGTGAGACATGTCATCACAGTGAGGCGTGTCATCACAGTGAGGCGTATCATCATAGTGAGACATGTCATCACAGTGAGGCGTGTCATCACAGTGAGGCGTGTCATCACAGTGAGGCATGTCATCACAGTGAGGCGTGTCATCACAGTGAGGTGTATCATCCCAGTGAGACATGTCATCCCAGTGAGGTGTGTTATCCCAGTGAGGCACGTCATCACAGTGAAAACTGTCATCACAGTGAGGTATATTCACAGTGAGGCGTATCATCATAGTGAGACATGTCATCACAGTGAGGCGTGTCATCACAGTGAGGCGTATCATCATAGTGAGACATGCCATCACAGTGAGGTGTATCATCCCAGTGAGACATGCCATCACAGTGAGGCGTGTCATCACAGTGAGGCATGTCATCACAGTGAGGTGTGTCATCCCAGTGAGATGTGTCATTACAGTGAGACATATCATCACAGTGAGGTGTGTCATCACAGTGAAAGCTGTCATCACAGTGAGGCGTGACATCCCAGTGAGGCATGTCATCACAGTGAGACATGTCATCACAGTGAGACATGTCATCACAGTGAGGTATGTTAGCCCAGTGAGGTATGTTAGCCCAGTGAGGAGTGTCATCACAGTGAGGAGTGTGTGATAGAGCAAGGCTTGTTCATCTTGTCATCAGGGAGCAGAAAAGGGTGGAGAGAGGAAAGAGCCAGTGACAAAAAATACCCTCCCATGGTACACAGCCCCCCAAGCACCCACTTCCTCCAACTAGGCCACACCTACCAACACTTCTATTACCTCCCAATAGCACCACCATTTAAGTATCAAGTCTTTAGCATATGAGTTTTGGGGGGAACATTCCAGATCAAAATTGTTCTGGAAATATTTCCCCTTAGAACTCACATGTTTGAGCACTTCGTCTCTAGTCAGTGGTGCTGTGGGGGAGGTGGACTCTCCTAGAGGAAATGAGTCATTGGGATGGACCCCGAGGGCTCCTCACTTGAGCCCTGCCACACCTATTCACTCTCTGCTCCCTGGCTACTGAGCAATGTGACCAGCTAGTCTCCTGCTCCTGCCACATGCCCTTCCAGTTGTGATGGACCGTGTTCCCTCAAGCTGTGAGCCAAAATAAACCCTTCCTCCCTTAAGTTGCTTCTTGTCAGGTATTTGGTCACAGCAACAAGGAAATCACCTAGGAGCTGGAGGTGGCTCAGCACCTGTTGCTCTTGCTGAAGACCCAGGTTCCAAGCACCCACAATTAGGCAGCTTACAGTCACCTGCAACTCCAGTTCCAAGTGATCTGATGCCCTCTTCTGGCTTCCAAGGGCACTGTGCACATGTAATGCACATACAGATAAACAGGCACACACACATACACGTAAAAGTAAATAAAAAATTTTGATGTAGCTGAAACAAAGTGGCATCACCACTCTTCAAGGGTGAGTATTCACTACTTCTGCAAGAGTAGACAGCCGGCGTCAGCTTCTTTTCCTTCCAGATTAAACCATTTTGTCATGAAGTTGTGGGTCCCAGTTCAATCTCTTCCTCACTTGATCCCACGCCAGATCACTCATTTGTGGGTTGTTAGATTATTCTGAACATCACACCTAAAGGTGAGTTGGATCTTTTTCTCCATATTTAGAGTTCCCCATGAGAGGAAGAGGGAGAACAAGAAACACGAAGACCTTCTAGAAGACCACCAGTCACCTTATGGTCAGATGCTTCAAAGTTTAGAAGGTGTCCAGAGCACTGGGAGCAGCGCTCAGGAGACAAAGAAGACCAGGCCTCAGAGGAGGCCCCCTTTGTCAGCAAAACAGAACTACGAAAAGAAGGAAAACGTAAGTCTGAGTGTGCTTGGAGGCATCTTAAGGGGTTTATGAAACAGGACCTGGAGTTGGAGCCTGCTGCCACCCTCCAGGACAAGGGCAGAGCTGGAGTCATAAGACAAAACTAATTTATATTGTATTATATTACATTATATTATATTATATTACAATAATGTCTGCATAGCTGCTTCTATCCAGGACTAAACTTCTGGCTCCAAAACTGTAATTTACATGTTATATATTTACATGTTATTATATTAATTACTTTTCCCATTACTATGATAAAATACCTAACAAAAAACAACATGAGAAAGGAAAGGTCTATTTTTTTTAATATTTTACTTATTATTTTTATTTTATGTGTATGTGTGTGTTGCCTGCATGTAGGTAAGTGCACCCATGTCGTGCAATGGCTGCAGAGGACAGAAGAGGGTGTCGGATCCCCTGGGACTGGAGTTACAGTTGTTAGCTGCCATGTGGGTGTTGGGATTCGAACCCAGGTCTTCAGCAGGAACAGCCAGCATTCTTAACCACTGAGCCACCTCTCCAGCCCCAGAAAGGGTCTATTTTTAAATTTCATTACTATGTGTGTGTGATTTAGGGAGGGCAGGGCACTCATACCCCAGCACTCTCGTGAAGATCAAAGGATGATTTTTCGGAGTTGGTTTTCTCCTTCCACTTCACGTGTGTTCTGAGAATCATACTCAGATCATCAGGCTTGCACGGCAAACACTTTACATGCCGTCTTGGAAGGGTTTATTTGGGCTTATAGTTTGGGGGTACCATCAGTCCGTCACCACAGGGAGGGCATGATAGCAGGAACTTGAGACCGTTGTCACATTGTTGCTTCAGTTAGGAAGCTGAGAAAGATGAATTCTGGGAATCAGAAAGCCTGGGGAAGAAGCAATATGACTGTGTGAGGCATCTGGGAAAACTAGGGGCTCATGGGAGATAGAAGGGGACTAACAGGAGGCAGGCAGAGTTCTACCCTCAGCCTTTGAAGTAGGGCTTTTCATTCAGTTGAGGACCCAAGTCCATAGAATAGTGTTACACGTTTGAATGGCTCTTCCCACCTCAATGACTCTATCCAGAAACTCCCTCACCACCATGCATGGAGGTTTGTCTTCTGGGTGATTCTCAATCCTATTAACAATCTTCTTAACAATTACAGACATTATATATTGCTGATACAAAGAGGAATGCTTTGAGCAAAATGAAAGACCATTCAGACCAATAGGTAAAAGACACATGCTGTGGCATCAAACGTGGTGGCACGAGCCTTTAAACCCAGCACTCGGGAGGCAGAGGCAGGCAGAGCTCTGTGAGATCAAGGCCAGCGTGGTTTACATAGTGAGTTCCAGGCCAGCTGGGGATAGGGAGACCCAGTTAAAAAAAAAAAAAAAAAAAAAAAACAAGACACATACTGTGTCCAGAGAAAAGATATGATTATCTCAGAAAGAGTGGGGAGTATAGTCTCTGGGGACCTTCTGGCTCCAGCCTGGGGCCCACAACTCTTTCCCCTTACATTGCTTTTCATGAGCAGAGTTTGGTTCCTCCATGCTGAAGGGAGTCTCCAAGCCCCGTGAAGCATGTAGTTGAATCTCAACAACATTCCGGTAAGACAGGGAGCACCTACTGGACAATGAGGGTTTTCTCAAGAATGAAGGACAAACCACCTAGTCCGTGCCGAGGGTACAGTCTCCAAAGCCCTGGGGGGAGGGGCGCTGCACTGAGACACAGATGGCAATGCAGCTGGTGGTATGTCACAGGCCCTCCTTTCTTCTCTTGCAAATTCTTTTTTAAAATGCAGTTTTTTTATTCATTCATTTATTTTGGAGACAGTAGCTTTTGAGCTCTACTTTTTTTTTCTTTTTTGACAGGATCACACATAATGTATCCCAGGCTGGCCTGGAATTCATTATGTAGCAGAGTATGTCTTTGAATGCCTGGGCCTCCTGCCGCCACAGCTGGAGAACTGGGATGCTTCGTACATGGCGTGCCACCATGTCCATTTTATGCTGGGGATTGAACTCAGGGCTTCCTGAATGCTAGGCAGTACTCTACCAACTGAGGTCCAAATGAGCTACATCCCAGTTCCTCTTTCAAATTCTTTCTCCATCTTTTTTCCCTCCCCCTCTGCCTCACCTGTCTGTTACCCACGCACACAATTCCTTTAGCACCAATGAAAAGGCTTGCCACTGCGTGAAACAAAGAGTCTCCCGCACTGCCTGGGCTAAGAGAGCTGAGGGAGACCGAGAGACAAGCCTTCTTCGCATTTCCATGTATCTAGAGGAATCTAGCTAAGAAGCCAACCTTTTGTAAATGCATGTCTTTTCATTTTATTTATTTTTATTTTATGTGTGTGCATGTATGGCCTGCATATAGATAAGTGCACCCATGTCGTGTAATGCCCGTGGAAGTCAGAAGAGGCTGTTGGATCCCCTGGGACTGGAGTTACGGACAGTTGTTAGTTGCCGTGTGGGTGCTGGGATTCGAACCCAGGTCTTCTTCAAGAACAACCAGTGTTCCTAATCGCTGAGCCATCTCTCCAGCCCCAGTAAATGCATGTCTTTTAAGTGGGCTTCATTGACAGAGGGGCAAGCCAAGAGGTGTTTTTAAGATAGATAGTTGTCAGTGGCTGGAGACATGGCTCAGTGGTTAAGAGCACTGGCTGCTCTTTGAGAGGACCTAGTTCAATTTCCAGCATCCAAATGGAGGCTAACAACAGTCCCTAACTCCAGTTCCAGGGGAATCTGATGCCCTCTTCTGACCTGCTCAGACATTGCATGACCTGGATGCACTTACATACATGCAGGCAACATACTCATACACATAAAATAAAAATAATAAACAATTTTTTAAAAGATAGATAGTTGTCTGTGAACTTCCTTTACAATCTGAAAGACAAAACTCTTCCTGGTGCTAAAGAGATCGACAAATACATTTGCCAAATTCTCCAAATTACCTCAAGCACCCCAGCCACATAGAGTCAAAAAGAGTTTCACATTATACAGACAGTACATACTTCTGAAAAATCTCTTTCGATCCCCAGAAAGTCTCCATTGTAGTCACATTCCAGCCCACGAAAGCTGTGAACACATGGCATTGACAAGGAAGAACTCAGAAAAGGAATCTCTTGTGAAGCCTGTCTTCCTCCTCCAGCACTGAAACTAGTCATCGAGGAGAACTGTAGGGTCAGGAAAGAGGAGAGAAGACATGCGAGTGGAAGGAAAGGGAGGGGAGACCCTTTATCTTAGGATAAAAGCTTTGGCCTTGAAGCAGAGCAAGTGTGAAATCTTTAATCACAGATTTCAGAAGGCAGTGCCCACCTCAAAGACTGTGGGTGAAACTCCCTGCCTGTGCCTATCTCTTGTCAGTCCCTTTCTGAGGGTCTTTTACAACCCCCAGATTTCCCGATGCCCCGTTCTACCATATTGCTTCTCTCCCAGTCCTTCCGCCTCCTCGGTTTATATTTTTCTCCAGTTCTATTTAGAGAGCGAAGTCCCTTCAGCTTTCTTACCTCCATCATCCTGCCACCTGAGTGACAGGAACTTCAGATAGAATTTAGGATGAAAAATGTATTCTGTCTTTCACGCAGTCAACGCTTGCTGAGCACCCACAGTGACTCGGGCACTGTTCCAAGTACTAAGAAGACACTGAAAAATAAAACCAATGAAAGTTGTCAAAAACATAGATCCAGTCTCCAAGTTATCCCTAGCCTTGCAGAGGAGTTCTAAGAGTGAGGGGATGTGAGCATCCCTCCCATCCATGGGTGGTCCCATCTGGGCCAAGTAAATCTTTTCAAAAGATTGGCACTCAGACCTTAGGAAAGTAGTGCTTTGGGAATGCTTAGCCCTGAGCCTGAGTTCAGAGTCCACAGCTGTGACCATGGAGCCCGTGTGTTTCTTATTTTCTTCCCACATGAAAGAGATTAGGCTTTTCTTCCATCTGGGGGTACCCTCCCACTTCTGACCCTGAAAGCTCTGGAAATTACAAAGCAAGTTTCCAATAGATGCTTTTACCAGCACCAGGCAGGTTTCCATGTCTGCCAACTTCCTTTCCATACATCTTGCAAGCCTGACACACGGAGGAGGAAGAGAGGCGGATGCTGGGAGACGCTGCTGGCTTCAGGGGTGATTAACTGTCGAAATGAGAATAGCTTTAGTTGCCTCATGAGGCATCCTGACCCATGGTAGAAATGCCTACAGAAACGTAAGGACTGAAAGTAGAGATGTGGAGTGTTTGAGCAAGAGCGACAAAGTCAGACATGTTTGAAAAAGAAATGGATTTGCTTGGAAATGTGTGGTTTCCACAGTAATTTTTGGAATCTAAATACAGACAGCTACAGGGAAGACAGATGGAAGAATCTACAGCCCTCCCCCATCTGAGAGCCTTGTGTTGCCCTCCCCCACCTGAGAGCCTTGTATTGAATGCACTGGAACCGCAGCCCTTACACGTAATCTTCCTCTGTTGAGGGGATCAAGGAAAACTTGGAAGGTTGCAGATCAAAGAAAGAGCCTGCTCTAATTTGTCCAGACTCAGGGAAAACACGTCTCTCAGACCAATATTGAGTAATTTCACATCCTGTCCAAACGTGCTCACCAAGGCTGGGCGGCTTAGCAGAGCATGTCATTTGTTTTTTGAAGGAGCAAATGACTGAAGAAAGGAGAATAGGAGAATAGATAGGAGAATAGATAGGTGAAAGGCCGGGGGAACGTGAAGGATCCTCAAGGCGGGTGTGGCGTAACCACTGGCAGCTTGTTACTGATGTGAGGCCCTGATCTTTTGTGGTACAAAATGAAGTTCGTTATGCCCAGAGTGTCAAAGAATCACAAATTTGATAGAGAACTGCCATACAGAAGGTGCTGAAAAACTGTATGATTCATTGATTAATTTGTTGATTAAAGACATCAATACATGATCATACTCTAGGATCCGTGTATAATATCTAAGAAGTGTCAGTTCTGTGTGTGCTTAAATATGACTAGTGATGGGACCTTCCAGCGAGATGTGTCTCTCTGTTAGAGCTTCAGTATAAAGTCTTTCACAGGCTCATGCATTTGAACAATTGATCCCCAGATGATGGTGCTGTTTTACAAGGTTGTGAAAACTTTAAGAGGTATGCCTTAAAGAGGAGGAGCACCAAGGGACAGACCTGATGGATTATAGGCCAGCCCAGTTCTGGCATCAGTTTCTCTCCGCATCCTGGTCCACTGAGATGTGAGGAGTCAGAGATGTGTCTCTCTGTTAGAGCTTCAGTATAAAGTCTTTCACAGGCTCATGTATTTGAACAATTGATCCCCAGATGATGGTGCTGTTTTGCAAGGTTGTGAAAACTTTAAGAGGTATGCCTTAAAGAGAAGGAGCACCAAGGGACAGACCTGATGGATTATAGGCCAGCCCAGTTCCGGCATCAGTTTCTCTCTGCATCCTGGTCCACTGAGATGTGAGGAGTCGTAGTCGCACAGTCCTGCCACTACAAACTCCATCAGGCCTTCCCCACCATGATGGACTGTACACTTCAAACTATCAGCCAAAATCCTTCCTCTCTTAAGTTCTGCTCCTAAGTAGGCTCTGTCACAGTGACTAGGAAAGTAATCAATAAACCGCTTTGAAAGATATTGATGTAAGCTCTGCCTGTAAGTCCAAATTCAAACCCACCTTCCAGAAGTTTCCATCATTAACCCCAGTTCCACCACTGGTGTAAAACCAAATGGATGTGTCCCATATTATATGAGCTTCAAGAACAACTGCATGTCCCTCGCCAGATCCATTCATCTTCAAGTCAGTTGTTCCCACCTCCCATAGTCCTGGCTCTAAATGATACAGAGAGTTTTGTGTTCCTGAACCATCTTCATCACTCTCCGCTAATGAGTTCCATGTACCCAGGCACTTTCTGTGGTTCAAACCTAGAGTCAGATTTGGGGGCTCAACAGTGACTGGGATGGAAGAGAATGGGCCTGTCTCCTTGTTCCAGTTCCTCTGCCTCTGGATTCAGGAGAAGGTCTTGCGGGCACACAGGCTGCTGCTACCCAAACCCCTGTGTATTTTTTCCATCTCAGTGTTCAGAGACAAGAAGCAACTCATTCTGGAGTCTATTGCGGCTCAGACAAAAGCCTGGCAGGTGATTTGTTACTGTGGTTGAATTCTATTTGGGGCCACAGTTATGCCCTAGCCCACATTGTATCCGTACTTCCCAAGAGTTATTCTTTGCACTTATTTACACTTGATAGTGTATTAAGTATTTTCAAATGCTTGGGAACTATGAGGTAAGTTTTTGTAGCAGAAAGGAATGCAGTTAACCTGAAGGGATTAAAAAAGAATCATTAGCAGAA